TTACTCACGATTGCTGTTTGGGTTTTTTCTTTTTTGATATCCTCTTGAAAATTAGCAAAGGGATCATCGGCTACCAGTTGGAGGTTCTCGGCTTCTTTTAGTCAGTTAGCAAATTTCTGAATAGTACTATTTCAATAGTTGGTTAATTTAGCTTGTTCGCTTAAATTGTTTCAGCGACTGTAGAGTTTATTAAGTGTGGCGTCAACTTCATTCTGGCGGGCCGAATAAGCAATTTTGTCGGAGGGGGAAGCCGGTGACGAAATAAATCTTTCTAATTCTTGGATAAAATTTCATAAATTGTTATCTGAGCAGTCATTAGCTCGATTTAGTAAGTCAGTTGGTTTTTTGGCAGTTCGTTTATTTTTGATGGCTTCAATAATATTGTCCTTGATTTTTTCTAGTTCTCACAGGGCTAAGTTTTCGTAGTTGTGGTATTTGTGGTCCAGTTCAGTAATGATTATTGCCGGCCGATTGTTTAATTCCGTTTTTACCTGCTGAATAATCTGTTGGGCTCTCTCTCTCTCTCTCTCTCTCTGCTCTTTCTTGGGCTAAGGCAATTAAAAAAATCTGTTCAGGGGGAAGAATTTCAATTAATTTATCAGGATCTGGGGAGGCATTTTCATAAATTTTTTTTCATTCCTTTTTTTCGCTCTCTTTTAAAAGAGAGCAGTTATCAATAATTTTACAATAGTTTATAGAATATTGATTACTACCAACCGTTATTTCTTCATTAAAAATTTTTTTCTTTAGATTGTCTAATTGTTCTTTTGCTTCCTTAGTATTTTCATAAAAAGACGAGCAGGCATTTTTTATTTTAATAGATAAGTCGTTTGCTTCTTCATCAACTTTTCAGCAAAGTTTTTTTATTTTCATTTCGTCTTTGGCTTTTCCCAAAAGACTTTCAGCTTCCGGTTTACAATTTTGGCAGCATTCTTTGTTAGTATCCCCAACTTTGGTTTCTACACGATTTTTGTTGCAGCAAAAAGAGCAACCATGTTTTGAGCAATAATTGACCTCCTCGCCTGGCAAAATTATTAAATCTTCTCCACATCCCTTTCATTCCATTTTTTTAAGTAGTCATTTTGGTAATAAATTGCTAACTGGTCCTCAACCTCATTGACAGTGATTAGTGTTTGACATAGTCTAAAAATAAAATTACTTTTTTTTTTTTTTTTAAGTTATTTTTATCATTAATTAATTGTCGAGTAATTCTTTTAACCCAAAATAATCAGTTAAATATTTCGCTACACCATCACTATTAAGAACACCAAAATCAGTTATACCATAAGCATAGGCTTTTAAATGGGGGATGCTGTCAGCCATAGCAATGCCTCGACCAACCGTGTGCATTAACTCGATATCATTAATATCATTACCAAAGGCGATAGTATGTGATAAAGGAATGTTGTAATAACTGGCTACTCATTCGGCACCCATTCCTTTACTAGCAAATTTATTTCGAATTTTTATTATTGCTTTGTCAGGGTCAGGAACCAGGATTTTTTCACCCGGATTTTTGGCTTTTAATTTACTGCCAAAATAAAAGGTAATGCCGGCACTATATTTACTACGTAAGATTGCCAAAATGTCATTGAGCATTCCCTCATTGTTCGGAAATTCCAAAACCAATTGTAAAGCATCTTTTCCGCCTAAAAGTTGCCAAATATCCCCTTTGGTGTAAGGGTTGCCATTAAAAAAAATTTCTTGGTAGTAAATGTCATCACTGGTGCTAATGGTTGTGCGGTCTATTTTATCAATCATAACATTGCAGAGATTTTGTTTAATTATCGGCTCAGCGAGAATGCTTTTTATTACTTCATTAGCCATCGGATTAACTACTATTTGTTCCTGTGCTTTTTCCGAAGGGTTATTAATATAGGCTCCGTTGTAAGTGACTAAAAAAGTGTCCAAACCAACCTCTTGATAAAAAGGCAAGGCCGATAAATAATTTCGTCCGGTAGTGAAACAAATTTTGTGTCCTTGTTTTACTAATTTTTGCAAAGTTACTTTTAGTTTCTGATTTAAAGTGGAAAAGTCAGGATTAGTGCTGGTTCCATCGATATCTAATTTAATTAAATGTTTTTCTTTGCTCGTTGTTTTTATATTCATATATTATTAATTATTATTATTATTTTATTTACTTTATCCGACAACCTTTTGACAAATGCTTGCTGGCACATCACTAATTTCTCAGCCGGATGGCTCAATGGTAATTTTAACTTTTTGCTTTTTTTGGTCGAGGTGGGTAATTCGTCCTTCGCGGTTGGTAAACGTCCCCTCGGTAATTTTTACCAAGTCTCCAATGTTTAAGTTGGTTTTTTCACTGTTATTCCCTATTTTATTTTCTTTTTTTTCCTTCACTTTTGCTAAAAAAGTTTTAATCACTTCTGGGGAAACAGAGTCTGGTAATTTGTTATCTCCGCGCTGGTAGTTTAAAAAACCAGTTATTCCGGGAATTTTGTAAAAAAAACGAGTCAATTCTGGGGTCAAATGACAGTGACCAATAATATAGCCTTTTAAAATGTTTTTTTTCTGACTATTACTGACAACTTTTAGTTCATTAATGTAAGCTTCCCAACTTTTTTTTTTCAGTTCTGATTTAATATTTTCAATAATTTTTTCCTCCCGTCCACCTCGTACCGATAGGATATATCATTGATAATTCAGTCCTTTCATTTTAATTTTGATTTGGTATTTTTTGACTCGGATCGGTCGGTATTCCTAAGAGCGAAAACAATCCCAAAATGGTAAAGGCATAGAGTAGGATAATAATCGTTATAAAGAGGGACGAGAGCAAGCGTTGGTCAAAACTTAAAAATTTGAATAACTTATTATATTTTTTAATGGGATTTTTGTGGAGTTTTTTTTTCATATATTTTTTATTAGTTTATAACCTTTCGAAAAAATAAAAAAGTTTATCTATTTTAACGGTTCAGCGTGAAGGAAAAAACCCTGCCTGATTCGGCTTCTTTGTAGAGAGTTTCTTTTCTCTTGACGGCTTCACCAGATTTATTATAATCATTACTGATTTCCTCGGCCAATTTTTCATACATCGGATTAGTGGTTTTTTTTTCTTGTGCTCCTTCGACTAATCACCGCAAAGCTATTTTCACTGACCGAACCTCATCAATTTCTTTGGGGACGCGATGTTTTGACCCACCAATTTTACGGCTTTTCATTTCAATGACCGGTTTAATATTAACTAAGGCTCCCTCCAAAACAGTTAAAAAAGGCGAAGAAGTATTTTTTTCAATCAATTGAGCTGCTTGGTAAACTATTTGGGTGGCTTTTCTCTTTTCCCCATTTTTCATTACCTTGTTAATTAACTGACTAACTAGGGGAGAAGCAAATTTTTTGTCCGGTTTGACTGGATGTCCTTTAATTACCTTTTTTTTACGCATTATTTATTAATATTATTTTACTTTTACCACGGATTTTGAACTTTATTGATTAAATTCTGGAAGTGTTGTGGCTGATGGATAGCCATTTCTGATAATTGCTTGCGATTTAATTTAATTTGGGCTAAGATTAACAAGCGGATGAATCGTGAATAGTTTAAACCATGGGAATGGCAAGCACTATTTAAACGGGTTATTCATAAGCGACGAAAATCTCTTTTTCTTTGTTTGCGGCCCGCAAAAGCGTCAACTTGGGCATTCATTACCTGCTCCTTGGCAGTTTTAAATAATTTGCGTTTGGATCCAAAATATCCCTTGGCTTGCTTTAAAATTTTTTTTCGACGATGTCGTGTTGCTGGGGTATTACTTGCTCTGGTCATTTTTATTTAATAATTTCTTCTTTATGTGTTGCTGTTTTTCGACAAAATTTGCAATATTTTTTTAAACTTAACTTTTCTCCTTGAGGTTTCTTGGCTTTGGAAGTCCGGTAATTTTGATGTCTTTTTGTGCAACCACCACAAGTTAAAAATAAATTGACGCGCATAGATTTATTACTTTTTCTTCTTAGGAGCCACCTTTACCGGTTTCTTTTTTTTCTCCGCGCTTTTAGCCATATTAATAAATCTATTCACTTGCTCTTCTGACGGCTTTTTTCCTAAGGAAGTTAGCATGTTTCTTACTTGTTCCTTATCAGGTTCCTCCATTTTTTTTTGTCATTTTTCCATCTGCTTCTTAAGTAGATAGCGAGCAAGAAAGTAACCCGAAAATACTCCAATTATGAATGCTATTGGCGCAACAATTAAATATGTTCTTATTCAATCCATAATTATATATATATTTTACATCTTTCGGGTAATAACTCGCATCTTTGCACTCCGGGCTCGATGGTTTTCCATTATCTCCTGTTGGGCAGGAGTCGAGGGTTTTTTAGTGATAATTTGGAACTTGTTGGAGGGGTATTTTTTGAATATTTGTTTAACTATTCTGTCTTCTAGCGAATGATAACTAATTACAATAATTCTTCCACCTGCTGCTAAGTATTTGAAAGCAATCTCTAAGGCTTGGGTCAGGTTTTCCAACTCGTTATTAATAAATATTCGGAGGGCTTGAAATACTTTCCGAGCAGGATGTTTGTCGCTTTTTCGTGAAAAACATGAGGCTATTATACCAACTAATTGCTCAGAATTAGTAATTTTTTCCTTTTGTCGTCGGTAGCATATTTTCCGAGCAATAACTCGGGCTTTTCTTTCTTCGCCATAATGATAAAAAATATCGGCTAATTTTTCCCAAGAATAATTATTAATAATGTCTTCGGCTTTTAACTTACTTTTTCCACTCATTCGCATATCAAGCGGGGAGTTTAAACGATAACTAAATCCCCTCCCCTCTTCCGCTAATTGGTCTGAAGAAAGTCCCAAGTCAAACAAAAATCCGTCTACCTCTTGGATACCCATTTTTTTTAAATGCTCTTCGAGATTAGCAAAATTATCATTAATGAGATGAAACCGAGGAGAGAGAAAAAATTTATCTTCCTGAACCAAATTGGCAGTTTCCTCATCCCATTCAAAGGCAATTAACTTACCTTTTTCTAATTTTTCTAGTATTGGCCTTGAATGTCCTCCCTTGCCAAAAGTGCAATCGACATAAATTCCCTCTTTTTTCAAATTGAGATAATCAAGAACCTCATTGAGCATTACTGGGACATGAATTCCGTTATTCACAGCACTATTAACCATTTTTTTAAATTTTTAAATTAACCGTTGGCATATATTAAATTTTTGCTGAAAAATGAAATGGTTCTTGGTCCAGTTTTATATAATAAAATTAATATTATAGAATAATTATCAAAAAAATTTCTATAAAAAGTAATAATTAAAATTTAAAAAATATGTCATACTGTAAAGCAAATCCCTGCTACAATAACACAAATAGAAGTCCCTCCAAAGCAGTATTGTAAAATAATGTAGTGATGTTACAAAAAAAATCTCTGGAAATATTACTTTTCCTGATTGCCATTGCTACTCTTGTTGTAATGTTTTGAATTGGTCATTTGACTAAAAAACCAACAATAGAGAAGTCCATTTCTATTTTTTTTTGTTTTTTGTTTTTAATTTGTGTTGTTTTTGCTCTCTCGTGGAACGCCGCTATTAAATAAATGTCGTAATGTAAATGCTTCGATTAGTTAATATTTAGAATAATATTTATTATCCTTATCATTTGGTCTCTTTTTTTTGTATTTTATAAAGCATTTTAAAGTTATTTAAAAACAAGAAAAATCTTGAATACTAATTGTTGCTTTGCCGTATTTTTTTACAAGTTCGTGTTGTCTTTTTGTTGCTAAATTTCTTTTTTCTCCTTTTTTAATTTTTAATAAGTAAATTCTCAAAATTGCTCTCCGCCGCCTTCCCCATTCTGAATATTCGGGCAAGTTCTTGGTAAACTACAAGCAAAAATAGAAGAAATGACTTTCAAAAAACTTGATTAATTGATAAATTTCCTACGGTCATTCCTCTTTATATTTTGCTAATTTAAGAACCTCATATATCGTTAAAAAAGATTTTTTCTTTCATCATTTCTTTAAAAATTATTCTTATTTAGGTAGTAATTTAGCATTTGGATATCAGTCGGGTTAATTCCTGCTATTCGTTGGGCTTGTCCCAAAGAAGCCGGTTTTATTTTAGTTAGTTTTTCTTTGGCCTCTTCCGCTAAATTGTCGATTTTTAGGTAATCAATATCGTGAGGGATTTTTCTGGCTTCATATTTGCTTAATTCTTTTACTTCTTTTAATTGATTTTCAATTTGTTTTTGGTATTTAATATTAACTTCTAGTTCTCGTTGTTCTTCTCGACTTAATTCCTTTATTTTCGGTATTCAAGGTAGAAATTCTTTCAGCAAAACTTTATTATTTTTTAGTAAATCATAGCCATTTATTATGTTTATAGTTTTTCACTGACTGATATCTAGTTGGGGGAAGTTTTGGGTCAAATTGTCGTCTGGTTTGAAAGTTAATTTTTGTAGTTCTTGGTTAATTTCTTTTTGGATTTTTTCTTTTTCCTGAAATTCCTCTCAATTCTTTTCGGACAACAGACCTGATTGGTGAGTAATTGGTCAAAGGCGGGTATAGACATTATCGTGTCGTAATAGCAAACGGTATTCGGCCCGGGAAGTTAGTAGTCGGTAAGGATCAGTAATTTCCTTATTTACTAGATCATCAATTAATACTCCAATATAGGCTTGGTCTCGGCCGAGAATCAACGGTTCCTGATTTTTTAATTTACGACTAGCATTTATTCCGGCCATTAATCCCTGAGCGGCCGCTTCCTCATAACCAGTAGTGCCATTAATTTGTCCGGCAGAAAAAAGACCGTTAATTAGTTTGGTTTCCAGACTATTTTTTAATTGAGTAGAGTCAACGACGTCATATTCAATAGCATAACCTCATTTTTTTACCACGGCTTTTTCTAATCCTGGCAAAGTTTTTAAAATTTCGGCTTGGATCTCGGCTGGTAGGGAGGTTGATAATCCTTGAATGTAGGTTGTGTCTAGTTGCTTAGATTCGGGTTCTAAAAATATTTGGTGTCTTTCTTTGTCGGCAAACCGATAAATTTTATCTTCAATGCTGGGGCAATAGCGCGGTCCAGTGCCAATGTCTTGCTTGTAAAAAATTGGTGAGAGATGGGAATTGTCCCGAATAATTTGGTGAGTTTTTTCGTTGGTATGAAGTAAATAGCAGGGTAGTTGCTTTTCCAAAGGCAGCAATTTTGTATAATCGCTTCGAGAAGAGAATCTGAGTAGTAAATCGCTGCCCGGCTCTACTTTCAAACCAGAGAAATCAATAGTATTAGTTAAAATGCGCGGTGAGGTTCCCGTTTTGAAGCGTTTTAATTTAAATCCTAACCCTTGTAATTGTTGAGAAATATTATTTATTACTTTTTTTTCGCCGTCCGGTCCTTCGACTTGGCTCTCTTTACCTTTGTAAGTAATTGGTTGCAGATAAGTGCCAGTAGTCAAAATTACTATTTTTGTGGAAAAAATTTCACCATTATTCAATTCTACTCCATTTATTTTTCCCTCTGTAATTAACAAGTTTTTCGCGGCTCCTGCAATAACTGTCAAGTTTTTTTGTTTACTTACGACTTCTTGCATATAACGAGCGTAAGCAATTTTGTCAGATTGAACGCGGAGGGCTTGCACGGCCGGACCGTTGGAAGTATTTAGTAATTTAAATTGGAGGGCGGTTGCATCGGCTGCTTTGCCCATTTCGCCACCTAAGGCATCAATTTCGCGCACCACTATTCCTTTGGCTACCCCGCCCACCGAAGGATTACAAGGCATTAGGCCAATCTTATTTTTGTCAAGGGTGATTAAAGCCACTTGCTGCCCTAATTTTGCACTAATTAATGAGGCTTCAATGCCAGCGTGCCCCCCACCTATTACTATGATGTCAAAATCTTCAAAAGCATTTTTATTCATATAAATCAGTTTTAGCAATCAAGAATAAATTAAAAAAATTCATCTTCTATTCCCCTTACAATAATTTTGTTAGTTCCTTTTTTTGAAAATTAGTTAAAACTTTGGGTGTTAATAAGCGGTCAATTTCGTCTGGGGTCAGAATTTCATTTCAAAATATTTCCTTGTCTTTTGTCATCCTCCTGGGTCCGTCCTCCTTCTAAAATACAATCTTTATAGGGTCAAGCCAAAGCTATTTCACCACTATTAGCCAGATATTGCTGGTTCGCCACTAGTCCGACTTTGTTTTTATACTGGGTAAAACTATCTGGGAGAAATTGCTTATTAGAGATAAAATTTTGAAATTTAATTTTGTCAAAAACCAAAATATTCTCTACCTTCTACAAAAAACATTTTTCGTAGTTCCGGAGAAGATTTAAGTAGTTTTAAAAGGCCCTTATCTAATTGAAGGGCTAATTCAATAATTTTGTTTTTGACTAGGTTGCCGTTTATTATTAGTCTTTGGTCTTTTTTTAGGAGTTGGGTTAATTTTTCTAGGGTTTTTAGTATCATTAATTAAATTTTCATCAGAATCCTTTAAAAAATCAAAAAGACCGGTAAATTTTTTAACTTTGGAAGAAAATAATCTAGTTAAGTTTCTTTGAAAATTTACTTTATTAAAAATTATTTATCGTGACGAATTGAAAAGAAATACATCCTGAATTTACCCCAGAATTGCAAAAAAAATGGGAAGATAAAAACTTTACTTATGAAAAAGCAAAAATGTGAATAAATAAAGTTGGTTTAAAAGTTACCGAGGCTGGATTTGCCGAATGGTTAAGAGCAAAATTTTCGAACGTTAACAGATTAAGAGAAGAGTACAAAAATTTTCTAAGTCTTAGTCCTGAAGTAATTGAAGTAATAAAAGACTTTCCGAATTATTACTTATGCCTATATTACAGACTTAGGATTATGCCGACCAGAAAACGAAAAAGATTGAGGAAATATTGGATTACTTGAGTATCTTCCCCCAGAATTCTTTTCAGGAGGCAAATATGAAAGACCCGGCGACGTCTATGCTCTTGGTATAATTTCTTATTTAATACTTACTAGTGAATTTCCAATAAGTGGAAATTGATTAAAATTTCAAGACAATGCTAATTTACCATCAGAATTAATTTATCTGATCAAGCAGTGTTGTGATAGTGATCCCATTAACCGTCCTCCAGTTGCTTTAATAGACGAGATTATGTTCTATTGATCAGCAAAAATTGGTTTGCTTGGTGAGTCTAAAAAGGAATTTGTTAATGAAAATTTTGAATTTTATCAGCAATTAATGAAATGGCAAAAAGAAGAACTCACTCAATGCAGTCAGTGCAAAAGAGAAGCAATTAAAAATCATTGTCTTAACCTTGAATGTCAAGAATGTTGTAGATGAAAACTCCAGCAAAAAAATGACAAAATGTAAGTTTTTACTTCCAGATGTAGCATAAAGTAGTGTGAAATTATTTTAATGTTTTTTCTTTAAGGAGGATAGTTTCATTGTCTACTCATGCTGTTTTTCTTCCCTTTTTAACGATATTTATTAACTTTTGCCGTAGTTATAGTGATTGTTCATCATTTTTTGTGTTATCATTTTCTAACTAAAAAATAAGGGCTTCTACTTCAACCAAAAAGTAAAAATTAGAATATAGTTCATGGCTAAATACGACCACCTTTCCAAAGAGGAATTATTAAGAATTATTGAAAAACAGGAGAAAGAGTTGGAAATCAAAAAATATGGTCTCGTTTGGGATAGAGAAAGAGAATCCGAGAAAGTAGTTTTAGAGTGTGAAAATAATTTACCGATACTTAAAAGAATTAGGGAAAGGCAAATTAAAACTGACAATAGCGATGACAACATTTTAATTGAAGGAGATAACTATCATTCCCTTACTGTCCTTAATTACACGCACAAGGGAAAAATCGACCTAATTTATATCGATCCTCCTTATAACACCGGAAAAGAGGATGAGTGAAAATATAATGATAAATTTGTTGATAAAAATGACCGGTATAAGCATGCCAAATGGTTAAACATGATGGAAAAGAGGTTAGAACTTTCCAAAAATCTTTTGAAAGATGAAGGAATAATTTTTATATCCATAGGGGAACAAGAACTAGCTAATCTTAGTTTATTGTGTGGAAAAGTTTTCGGACATGAAAATTTTTTAACCATAATTGCTCGCATATCTAAAACAGCCAGTAACCAAGGAAAATATTTTGCTCCTTCTTGCGATTTTGTAGTTTGCTATGCCAAAAATAAATCCCATATAAGCACGAGTGATTTTTATGATGAAGTAGATGAGGATCTTTACGCAAAAGAGGATGAAAAAGGCAGATACAGAGATGATATTGCCTTGTTTCAGTCAAGTTTGGAAACACGATTAAATCTTAGATATTACATTCAGTGTCCTGATGGATCATTAGTTATTCCACCTGGAAGTACTTTGCCCCAGCAAAAAAAAGAAGGAGTGCCGGTTTCAAGTGCGATTAGTGGAGTTGACAAACAATGAAGATGGTCGTATTCAAAGTTAGTTCAGAATAAACATTTATTAGTCTTCAAAGAAACTAAAAAATCTCCTCTATTAGACCAAGACGGAACTAGGTCTAAATATAACGTCTATGTGAAAAGTTATTTGGAGACAAGGAAAGATAAAGGAGTTAAGCCAAGAAATTTTTTAATAGACAAGAATTTTTTAAACAGGAGAGGAACCGATTATTTGAAAACGCTAGGATTAGATTTTCCTTACTCTAAGCCCAAAGAACTTATTATTCATTTACTTGAAAAAGTTCATCTTGCTAAGGATGCGATTGTTTTGGATTTCTTTGCCGGTTCAGGTACTACCGGCGAAGCCGTTTTAGAACTTAATCGAGAAGAAAAAAGCCAAAGGAAGTTTATTCTTTGCACCAATAACGAGGGACAAATTGCCGAAGAAGTTTGTTATCCGCGTTTGAGGAAAGTCATTAAAGGCTATGTCAAAAAAAATAAGGCTGATGAAATGATAAAAGGGCTTGAAGGTAACCTCCAATACTTCCAAACTGACTTAATTTCTGTTGAAAACTTGCTTAATATAAGTGATGAAAAAAGACATGAGCTAACCGAAAAAGCGGGATGAATGATTGCTCTTAAGGAAAATACTTTTGAGGAAATTGGATGTAGTGAGTATTATCAAATATTTGAAAGCGAAGATAAACAGAGAAAAACCGCTATTTATTTTCGAGAAGACTTGAAAAAATTTGATGAATTAACAAAAAAATTACAAAAAGTTAAAACAACCTTATATATTTTTTCTTACGGGAGAGTAGACAAAAAATCCTTTTATTTGGATAAAAACATCACCATTGAGGATATTCCGGAACCAATTATTGAAATATATAAGGAAATTAACTTGACTTTGAAAGAAAAATAACATGACAAGAATAGATTTAAAAGATTTTCAAAAAAGAGCAGTGGAGGAATTGAGTTTAACTTTTTTAGAGTTGTGAAGAACTGGCAATTACCGGATACCACTTACTTTTAAAGCACCTACCGGAGCTGGAAAAACCATAATGATGGCTGAATTTTTAAGATGCCTCGATGATAACTATCAATTCCACAAAGACAAGGCTTATATGTGAGTATCTTTTGGCGGCGATGATTCTTATATGCAATCCAAAAATAAACTTTATCAGTACTTTAATGAGGGGACTGATATGCATCTCAAAGATGTAAATAACTTGAATGAGGGAAAACTCCACAAAAACAATGTTTTCTTTATTAATTGATTAAAGGTAAAAGGAACCAATAAAGAATCAAAAAAATTAAGAAAAAGTGGTGGGGTTGGATATGGCGGAGAAGCAATTTTTGATGATTTCATTATACAAACTAGAAAGGAAAGGGATTTGGTATTGATTGTTGATGAAGCTCATATTGAAACGGATACTAAACTCGCTAACGAAGTCGTCGACCTATTTGATCCGCGAATTGTTATCAAAATAACCGCAACTCCTAAAACTTTACCAGATATTAGTGATGTCAGACAAAAAAGGGCTGGATTTGTGGAAGTTTCAGAAAAAGATGTAATAGAAAGCGGATTAATCAAAGAAAAAATTGTTATCCAAACTAAGGAAGAGATTGAAAAATTATCTGAAAAAAGGCAACTTTCGGAAGATGAAATAATGCTCGAGTTGGCTTATAATAAGAGGCTGGAACTTAAAAAAATTTATGAGAGTTTAGGGCTTGACATAAACCCATTGGTTTTAATTCAACTTCCGAGTGATTTTAAGGAAAAGGAGGAGATAGAAACTAATCGAAAGGATTTTGTCTTGTCATATTTAAAAGCCAAAGATGTAAAAGAAAAGGAAATTGCTATTTGGTTATCGAATGAAAAGAAAAATTTGGACATGATTGAAAAAAACAATAATGAGGTAAATTTTATGATTTTCAAGGTGGCTCCGGCCACTGGTTGAGACTGCCCGCGAGCGGAAATATTAGTAATGTTTCGGGAAATTGATAGCCCAATTTTTCATACTCAAATAATTGGCAGGACAAAGAGAATGCCCGAAGGTCACCATTACGAAAAAGAAGAACTAAATAAGGCCTATATTTTTACTAATTACGACAAGAATCATATTAGTGATATTAGCGAACTAGAAAATAAGAATAAAATTCCTGTTTATTTTACTGAACTGAAAAAAGATGTTAAAAAGATTTGCTTGGAAACAACCTATCACCACCGAACCGATTTTGACATTCTTATTCTTCCATTATGGCAAGAAATTTTTTTAGAAGTAATGGATCGAGAATTTGGAACCAACTCTCAATTGTCTAATGAAAATAAAAAAAGCGTGGGAACAAGGATTGACTTTTCTTGGACAAGGGTAAGCAATCAAATTATTGTAGATGCTGAAATTACTAGTTTTGACAATTTTGCCAACGAAATAAAAAGAAAAGGACAGAACTTCGATTATCATTTTTCCCGGTTAGAAATGGAAAAACTCTACAATTCACTTTGTTTTCAAGAACTTAAAAATCAAGGAGATGAGGAAGCAAAATACAATCCAGCAAGTTCATGGAGCCAATTGAAATCGGCTCTAAATGTTTGATTTGAAGACAGATTCGGATTTAATAAAGCAACCTATTATCCAATTATTGTTAATGAGTTGTTAAGGAAGAATGAATATCTAAAATCTGCTATCAATAAGACTTTGAAAGAATTTAGAAAAAAATATGAAATAGAATTAAAAGCAAGGGAGGAAAAAGAAGTTTTTAATTTATGATTACCTGAAAAACAAGTTAGTTTTACCGCAGATTTTGAGGAAATTGAGGGCGTAAACAAAAATGTCTACGAGAAATTTTATAATAAAAAACAATATTTGGGAATAGAAAACGAGAAGAAGTTTATAAGGTTCTTGGAATTACAACCCGATGTCATTTGATGGCACAAGCAAAATTATGGAAGAAGTGCGTTTGCAATTGAATATTTTGATACCCAAGAAAAGAAAAATAGACTCTTCTACCCTGACTTTATTGTCAAAACAAAAAGAAAGATCTACTTATTGGATACAAAAAGTGGTATTACGGCAAAAAGTCAAGAAACGGCAGATAAAAGTAATGCACTTCAAAATTGAATTAAAGAAAAACAGTCAAAATATAGTTTTGAAATAATTGGCGGAATAGTGGTTGAAAAATATCCGAACTGGAAATTAAATAGGAGTAATAGGTATGTTTATGAAAAAGAAAGTGATTGGGAAAATCTAAGTCTTAATGGCTAAAGAGAAATAGTGATATATGCAAAAAAAATTACATTATAATGGGTGACGGCAAAAATATAAAAATAATTGATAAAGAAAAAATTACTTTTCTGAATTGTTAAACTAGTAATCAATATCTTTATTTTTTTCTAGTAACTTAAACTCATTTTTTAATTCCTGAAAATTAGTCAAAAAGTCAATGTTTTGACAATCTTTTTTACAGGAAAAATCTGGAAATTTTTTAACTATTTTTTCTAACTCTTCTTGGGAAATTATTTGTGTTTCTAATAAGTATTTTTTATTCTGAAAAACTGCTGCATGATATTTACTGCCTCGGCTATCGATAGTTAGCAAACTAATGCAATTTTCCGCCCCGGCTTGTAGTAGTAAGGTGTTGATATGCTTCAATTTAACTTCTGGATTAAGAATTTGTAAAGTGGCTAGGAATGCCAGAGCAACTCTTATTCCAGTCTGTCCGCTTGGAGCAGAGGTGAAATAAATCTCTTTTATCTCCTTTAAGTTATGATTAGTTTTAGCAAGTATCTGCTGCAAATGAGTTAAAAAATTCTCTGAATGTTGGCGAGCATTTTCTTTTTGGATGCTAACTAGGCACTTGTCATCTTCCCACAGAGCCAGGAAAAGGAAGGGAGAAGACAAACTGAAATATAAATAAAGCATTAAATTATGGTGTTATACTTATAAATAGACCAAATTCTGGTTATAATTTTGAACTGAACTATTGCATCAAAAAGTCCTCGGTCGTCGCCAAAATATTTTTAGATTTTTTTTGTATGTATAACTTTATTTTAAAGATTATGTAGAATCGAGAACTCCCCCACCTTTGTCCAGGTGGGGAACAGTTTGTTTATTTAACTCTTTTTCTCTCACTCAACTTCGCTAAAAGTCCAACTATTGCTAGATAACTTATCAAGAGAAAACTACCTCAAATTCACCTTTCTTGGTTTTGACTTTGGATCAATTTTCCTTTTTGCTGAGCAATCATTTTTAATTCCTCACCATTTTTGGCTAATTTATTCTGGATTAGATTATTACGTGCTTTTATCACTATTTCCAAAGTAGTAGCCTTTTTAATATTTTCTTTTACTGACAAAGGAATACTAATACCTAACTTCTCGCAATTTTGTAAGGTATCATTTTTCACTAATTGGAGAAGTTTTTGATATTCAGCTTGTTGAATAGCAGTATAATTAGGGTCCTTCTCAACTAACTGTTTTTGCAATAACTTAATAGTTTTTTTGGCTCGGGTTAGTTTTTTTCATAGTTTTTGATTATCAGTTAACGGATTTCTAATTAATTCTTCAATTCTGGTAATTACTTTTGTTAGAGTCAATTCTTCGTTTGCTAAATCAATTTCCAGGGAATTACTAATTCCTCGAAGTATTTCTTTTTCTTGAGTGGCTAATTTCTTTTGCAATCTTTCGTAACCACCTAAACAACAAGGTTCCTGACAATTAATAATAGAACAGGTATGAGCATCTATTAACATTTTATAATTATTTCTTTCTTGTCGAACACTATCATAATCAGTATGAGCAGGACGATTTTTCAACTTAGCTAGCAAGATTTTTCAATCGCTTACGTCGGTAATGTTGAATTCAGTCAGGATGTCGGCTTCGTAAGTATCCGCCCGTAGTTTTTCGGTTTGGAGTTGGTTTTGCATTTGAATAAAATCGCTGATTAGTTGTTTTAACGATTTACTTGTCCCATCAGTGTTCTGGGGTAGAGTTGGTAAATTATTTAGGCTTTTCAATCGCAAGTGCTTTTTAGTTAGGTTAGTTGCCTCATTCGTTGTTTTCAACTGAGATTTTAAATTGTTATGTTTCTCTAAAGTGGGGCGCTTTTTGGCCTCCTTTTGGGCTTGTTTGTGAGCAAACTTTCACTCCTGAATTTCTTGCAGGGCATTAGTTGATTTCTTATTTAATTTGTCTGCCTGCTCTTTTTCTCGATTTAATTTGTTTTGTAAATTTTGAATATCTTTATTTTTCTGTGCTAATTGGGTGGTCAAACTATCTAAGTTAATATTGAGTTTCTCAGTGACGTCCTGTTCAGTTGCTAGTCCGATTTGTAATTCTCTTATCTGTCTATTTAGAGCAGTAGCTTCTTCCTGGGTTTGCGTTAGTTTAATTTGTAAATTAGCAAGATTTTGTTCAGCCTGTTCCTGAGCGGCTTGGGATTGACTGATTTGGTCTTGTCAATTGCCAGGAATATTGTCTAACTTTTGGCTGAGATTTTCTTTTTCATCAGTTAAACTTGACACCTGACGATTAAATCGTTCTAATTGTTCCAACAATTCGTTATAATCGTTTTTGTTAATATTCGGTCGGCTGTCTCTGTCCTGTTTCATCATCCTTAACTCACTTTGTAATTCCTTGAATTTTCTTTCTAATTCAGTTTTTTCCTTATTTCGAGCAGTTTTTTCACGTTTGAGTTCACTAACTAGGGAACCATTGTTTTTTTTGTAGTTGAGTTTCTGCTTTTCTTAATGAATTTATCTTTTTTTGCGACTGGCTTGCTTTACTTTGCAGACCATTTATTTGATTTCCCTGAGTAGTAATTTGAACTTTTTGTAACTCTATCTTATTTTTATTAATTCTATTATTTTCATTAGCTGTGCTTAAATCTTTTTGTAGCCTAGCAAATTCAGTGTTAGCTATATCTCGTTCTTTTTCTAACTGGTTAATCTTTTGTTGAGCAAA